AAACCTGTCGGCACAATATGTTTGCGAACAGTCGCAGAAAACTGCGAAGAGGTGAGCGGGCCTAAAAGGATTCCCAGTGACAGCGCAGCGCCGGTATGTGGGGGTCTGAGCGGCTCCCACAGAGAAATAATCTTTGAAGGCAGGATGGTAATCTGGATGAACTGACTGCACAGACCATGTTTTCAGGAGGACTTTCTCACTTCAACATAGATTCAAACCCAACGCACATCAGACCCGCTTTTCCACCGCGCCGCTAGAGCAGCAAAGATGCTTCAGCTGCGCATTAGAACTAAACAAGCATCAATAATGAGGTGTGATCGTCTCTCTGACTTTATTGGCAGTAGAAACATCCCCTCTCTTCCCTTCTTCTCACTGACAGCTCTGCTCACTCTGCTCACTCTGACACCGCTCACACTCTCACACTGAGTCAATCTTATCACATCATTGCTGTGATGTCACGCTGTCCTCTGGCTTTCTCACCAGACATTTTGGAAAAAAAGGGGAGTCGTTATGGAAACAGAAGTTTGATCCTCTCCGATGTACAGAAGATCGTTGGATTGTGTGACCAGCAGTGGTTATTAAAACATGACTTGCTGTTTTTCGGGGTAAATTGTGGCGTCCCTGGGTGGGCCGTAGCAGACTCATTCCAGCACCAGCATTTTGGTGTGAGAGGGAAAAAAAACCACAGCTTCAGCAATTTTCAGCCTTATGGGCAAACTGTTCACTTTATAAGCTAATGATCTGATCAACTCCCTGCTGGGAATTTACAGAAGGGAGGATTTAGATAAGCCATAGGTAATTAAACCATAGATTTTTTTTTCCCTCCACATCCTCAGTAAGAGACAGATGGCAGGAGGATATTTATGTAAGAGTAGAGTGCAGTTTTCATAACTAGATGAGCTGCAGGCTCTGATTGGGGACAAGCAGGCAGAAACTTCTTTAAATCCTGGAAACGTCGTTGAACTCTGTGACATTCGTAAGGAAGGGAAAACTCACTTTGACCCAGTGTCTCTGAAAGCAGCCTGAACAAAGTCCGACTGTTCGACGTGCAAAATAAACCCCAAAACAATCATCAGTCATTAAAGAAGCCCTCTGTACCGCTCTGTTCTTCTTAAGGGGTGTTTAGTACTTTCCTCTGATCCAATACTCAGCAAAACATTTTTTCTGTAGTAAATCACAAATTCCATAAATCCCTTTTCTTCCAATTAACCGGGGTCAGTAAGCAGCCTCAGTAGGGAGGCCCAGACTTCCTCCTCAGCCACTGGGGCCGGCTCCTCCGGGGGAATCCCAAGGTGTTCCCAGGCCAGCAGATATAGTCCATAGGTCCATAGTCCCGGGTCTTCCTCCGGCTCCAGGAGAGATTCTCAGCATATCTTAAAAGAAAAACAATGAAATAAACTAGTTAGGAAAGATCATTTATTTAGTTGTCCTTTTCAATTCTTTCCTTTGTGAAATGGGTTCTACAATTAAAATTTTATTTGATTATGGTTCAATAGACCAAAAATAAAATACAGTTTCTCCCGTTTTAAAGGAATATAAAGGTTTAGTTTCCTATTTCCCACCCCCGAGGGTTTGCTGCATGCAAATGGTACTCCCAAAGCAAAACCATGTGGACAGTCTTTGAAATAATCTTCACATTATGGACTTTTTCAGGTTTGTTGTTTTAATGAGGCGACCCTAAACTCACTTTTAATCTTTGGATGCATTTAGAATCCGCTCCTGTATTCTCCTAACCTGACTCCGCCAGATGGATTTGCTCCACATATCCATCTGGAAACCTTCCATTGAAGTAATTTTGGGAAGGGGCGAAAATACTGGTTAGCTGATTGGCCTATGTTGGTGATAGACGGGCCAAATAAACCAATCAGATCAACGAAGCATATGACGTACTAACAGAGCGACGATAAAAACACAACCACAAGCCAGGCTACTCTTGCCGAAACATGTCGGGAGA